AGAAATTAAAGGATACATATATATACGGATAGTAAATAAAGTTTGAAAATCACTAATGAATACAGTATTTGAAAAATTGACAAAAAAACAAATTACTTTTATAGGGCTTCTAATAGTCTTAGTACATATTCCAAAAAAATAGTCTATACTTGTAATACAGTTATTCTACCGCATTTACTATATTGTTCAGCTATCTGGCAATGAAGCTGTATTCTCAAAATTACAAGTCCTGCAAAACAATGAGAATAATATTCGATAAAAGTAAGAAGTAAGTACAGCAAAATAAAATCTATGTTATAAGAATTGCAGTGGTTGAATATACAAAATTTCGTATCATATTTGGTTATTTTTAAATTTAAAATAAAAAATCATCTTTTGCCACAACATTTAGAGCACTACTTAGAATTGAATAATCATTACCACATATTATATAATACTATATAAGAGGAAATAACTTGAGACGTGGTCATTGTCGTCTAGACCAGTTAGGTGAAAAATTAAAGCTTCCGCCTTTTGTTGGGTACTTCGACAAAATTTAAGCAAAGAGGACTCTTTATACTTTTTTTAATTCTCTCTAGCTTTCAATGGACTTTGCCATAATCATCAGGAGCTGCAATTACAATGATAACAGTATCAACAAAAGTGTAAAATGAATTTAAATTGAATTGGATGTTTTTCCCTCATCCTATACGAAAACAACAATTAGCAACATCCTCACATACTACTGTAAGTAGATTCAATTTAAATTCATTTTACACTTTTGTTGATACTGTTATCATTGTAATTGCAGCTCCTGATGATGATGGCAAAGTCCATTGAAAGCTAGAGAGAATTAAAAAAAGTATAAAGAGTCCTCTTTGCTTAAATTTTGTCGAAGTACCCAACAAGAGGCGGAAGCTTTAATTTTTCACCTAAGAGGAAATATATAGATTTTCAATTAGAAAATTGCAACAGGCAAATCAATATTTCAGAAAGGATTAAGTACATACTTGAATTTAATAAACTAAATAATGATATAAAGTCTACTTGTAATTTAAATAGCTTTAAAAGAAAATTAAAGGAATATTTCATCGATAGTGAAAACTCTTAGAGATGTAAATTTTGTTTTTCTAAATATCTGTACCTGTTATGTAATTGTTGTAGTTTTTTAAAAGAATGTAATTGTAGCAATCATGCTGAATGAATCTTAAACAACAACAAACAAAGAAATGTATAAAATGAAAATCAAAACAATATCATTTATCAAGTCAAAGAAATTAGAAAAACTGCAAACGTTTAAAAAATGTCATCTTGTTGACTAGATAGCTGGTAGCGTGCAAACAGTTCATTCCGAGCCTGCTATAAGTTAGTTCCTAGTTGACATCTTGTAGGGAAGCTTACATGTCAAAAAAAACATACATCTCAAAAAAACGACATAATGTCACTTTTCAAGTTACGTCATACTTTTTCCGTAACATGCCGAGATTGAGCGAAGTAATCATTCCGAATTTTAAGATGGCACCCGTTCTGTCGTTTTTCGATGTACCAGATACGTCTTTCTCGTCTATCGTCCCGAAAACACCCAAAACAAAAAAAAACAAAGGGTCTATCTCCCCGGAAGACAATACGATAAATAAAATACACTAAGTGACATATAAATGCGAACACCCAGTTTAAATGGTTTTATTTTAATAAAAGTTGGTGTAAATAACAAGTGTAAAAATTTTCAGCCTTATCAGTTGGACATTCCGGTTTTTTTGCTGTTTTTTTTTTTAATTCACTAACGCTCTAAAAATGAATATTTCAGCCGCAGTAAAGAATCAACGTTGGCGGATTTTGGTTCTTGACATCCTTTACGATCGGTTACGATGCCTAGAGTACGGAGACCTGTACGATTTCGTCAACTTAGTGAGTTTGATAGGGGCCGTATAGTGGGACTTCGGGAAGCTGGACTTTCTTTTCGGGCAATTGCAGTTAGAGTGCAAAGAAGTGTAGACACTGTGGTTAGGTGATGTCAGGCATGACTTCGAGAAGGCCGAACGCAAAGAGCAAGGGGCACTGGACGCCGCCGTACAACAACAGACCGTGAAGATCGCCGCCTAAGATTATTGGCCTTAAGAGACCGTTTCTCCACTACCAGGTCCATTGCAAATGAATGGTTTGCCGAACACGGAAGACCTATTGGCATGCGAAGTGTTTACCGACGAATGAGAAGTTTTGGCTTGTTTTTATACCTCCCTTTAACTCGAGAACACCGACGTAATCGCATTGAGTGGTGCAGACAACGGTCACTCTGGGATCAGGAATGGAACAGTATTGTCTTTAGTGACGAGTCTCGATTTTGTTTAGGCATGCACGATGGTCGTGCCAGGGTTAGAAGGTGACGTGGTGAAAGGAGGAATCCACAGTTTTTTGTTGAAAAACATGTTCATCACACTGTTGGAGTTATGGTTTGGGGTGCTATAGCTTATGGTTCCAGGTCACCTTTAATCTTCATCAGAGATAACATGAACGCGCAGCGTTATATCCACGAAGTTCTAGAACCCCATCTTTTACCCTATCTTGACTCCCTGGCAGATCCAACTTTCCAACAAGATAATGCCCGACCACATCTTGCAAGAGTCACAATAGACTTCTTTCAACATAATGATGTCACATTGTTACCATGGCCACCAAGATCTCCCGACTTATCCCCAATTGAGCACGTGTGGGATATGATGGGTAGGAGATTTCTCAATTTGCAACGTCCTCCTCAGACTCTAGAAGCACTTCGAGAGGAGTTGGTGGTTGCCTGGAATGAGATACCACAGGAGGACATTGACCACCTGATCAGAAGCATGCCTAGGCGCGTAGCACATCAGGGTGCATCCACACATTATTAAAGGTCAAAGGGCTTTAAAGCAGTGCAATCATTTTGACATTTTTATCATTTACTTATTATGCTTCATTAAGTACTTATACAAAATTTTATTAAAATAAAACCATTTAAACTGGGTGATCGGATTTATATGTCACTTAGTATACAGGGTGTCCCAGAAGTCGACGTCAAGCCGAAACCGGGTGATAGGCAAAGTCATAACAGCTATCAGAAAAATATTTAAAAAAATTTTATGTATGTGTTTTGAAAATTATAGGTTTTTGAAAAAGATATAGAAATTTCACACCCTACGGCAGTCTGTCAACTCCTGTTACTACAAATATTAACTTTTTTTGGATTTTATTTTTACAATGTAATGATGAATAATGTATCTTCAAACTGGTGTCTCAACCTTACTGCCAACTTTTCTCGTTCAGGAAAAATTGCCACTTATTTCCCAGCCAAGTATTCCAAAGTAAAACTTTGCTCAACTTTAACTGGCTGTACTGGAAGAAAATGTACTACGAGAGTTTGGCAAGTAACCTTAAAAGTTGGCGCATTTAATAACGATTCCAAAATGGTATAACACTTAGAAGATTACTCGTTAACTTATGCACAATTTTTATTTGAAAAAAAACGATACTCTCTCACTGAAAGTGCATAGTGCGCTGGGCAGCCATCATGCTGAAACCACATGTCCCTGTAAATACTCAGTGGCACGTCCACCAATAAATTTTGTACATGATTTTTCAAAAAATCCAAATAAACTTCAGCACATTTAAGAAAGCTGGGTACATGACCCTGCATAACTTACACGAGTGGCACGTAGCAAACCCACATTTGATGAGAGAAGATAAATCTCAATATCGCTTCAAGATAAACCATTGGATAGGAATTTCAAATGGTAAAATAATCGGTCCGTTTGAGTTCCCAGAGATTTGGACTGCTGAGGTTTATTTAGGTTTTTTGCAAAATCATTTAGAAAATTTATTGGAGGACGTGCCACTGAGTATTTACAGGGACATGTGGTTTTAGCATGATGGCTGCCCAGCGCACTATGCACTCTCAGTGAGAGAGTATCTCGATCAAGACTTTCCAGGCAGATGGATAAGGCGGTCTGGTACAATACCGTGGCCAGCCCGATCACCTGATTTGAATCCTTTAGATTTTTTTACTGGGGAACTGTAAAAGAAAAAGTGTATTTCAACCCGATTCAAAACGTAGCTGAGCTACGGCACAGACTATTGGAAGCAGCTGAGTTTGTTAATAACTTCGCTCGTTTAATAACCCGATCTTTTTTAAGAAGATGTCGATCGTGTATTGCGGCTGAAGGAAAACAGTTTGAGCATTTGCTGTAAAGGTAAATCATTATCAGCAGCATTTTGACGCCCACTGTTGTGCAAAACGGTTATCCTTAAGGGTCCTTGTGCGTTTTCATAATCGCTGTTTAATTAGGAAATTTTGAAAAATTTTCATCAGTTTTTTTTTCAAATAATAATGGTGCATAAGTTAACGAGTAATCTTCTAAGTGTTATACCATTTTGGAATCGTTATTAAATGCGCCACCTTTTAAGGTTACTTGCCAAACTCTCGTAGTACATTTTCTTCCAGTACAGCCAGTTAAAGTTGAGCAAAGCTTTACTTTGGAATACTTGGTTGGGAAATAAGTGGCAATTTTTCCTGAACGAGAAAAGTTGGCAGTAAGGTTGAGACACCAGTTTGAAGATGCATTATTCATCATTACATTGTAAAAATAAAATCCAAAAAAAGTTAATATTTGTAGTAACAGGAGTTGACAGATTGCCGTAGGGTGTGAAATTTCTATATTTTTTTCAAAGACCTATAATTTTCAAAACACATACATAAAATTTTTTTAAATATTTTTCTGATAGCTGTTATGACTTTGCCTATTACCCGGTTTCGGCTTGACGTCGACTTCTGGGACACCCTGTATATTGTCATTGTTCCGAGGATCACCTTTGTCATTTGAAAAGTTTACAATAAAAAAGGTTCGTTAATACATGTGGATTTATTGTCCAGAAAAGCATGAAGGGTTATCGACATGTAAACCACAGGATAAGTTTCAGATGTTACATTATAGTATTTCTGGTTGCTTGAAACAAAAACATTTTTTACTTTGAACAATCAAGTATACCATTTTTAGGAACTTTGCAGAAACATAAGTGGGAAAACGCTATGTCTATAGACAAACAGTCTTGGGGATTCAGGAGAGAAGCAAATCTATCGGACTTCTTTACTATTGAGGAACTTTTGGTTGAACTGGCCTCAACCGTCAGCTGTGGAGGTAAATTTATATTATATTACATCGGATTAACGTATTCTACCTGAATATAGTCAACCTAATCCATCCACCATAGCTGGAGCGCCATCGATTGTCAAGCCTACCATTTTCGGTATTAAATTTTCCTCAGAATAGATTTTTAAAAGAAAAAAACAAGTCCTGCCCAGTAGTCTGTCCTTTTAGTGGAATAAACTTCAAAAGATATTTAATCGTGAAATCACTAAAAACCATCCTGACGAACACGGCCATGTGAGAGGTGTCAACGACATTCACTGTTAACTAATCAACTGATTTATTAATAGTTTTAGTTTTTCTGTTCTGGTCACAGAACGTAATGGGGATGATTTTTCAAAATTCGAATGTACAGTTTTATCCCTTTTTTAGGAAAGGAAACAGATGTATTACATAACAAACATACATTTTTACCTTTAACTTCTGTAAACAAATATTGTTCTTCCCGTTCCGAATGGAAACGGTACGTCTTCATCTTCTTACTACTGCTCATAATGTTTTTAATTGCAGGTCAACTCTAACCCAACCGCTGAACTTTGTACCGTTCAGTTTCGAACTGAGCGCGCCGTCGCCGCTCCTTGCGTATTTATTCCGTTTAAAGTAATCGAGTTCGTTCTCGTACAGATCGCTCACCGCAGTGTTGCCGCTGCTTGTGCTTATTATGAGAATCTACAAACTTTACGGAAGCTTCTATGATTTTTACACCTTTTGTATGTTGGCGACCGATAATAATAATAATAATAATAATAATAATAATAATAATAATAATATTTATTTACTCAATGTACAAATATAACAAACAATATGAGTAAATAAATATAAAATCAAAACAGGCCCAATAGAAGGCATCGCCTGTACATGGACCAATAATTTAAGTTGAAACTGTAGAATGCAAATGACAAAAAAGGACAAAAATTAGCTACAGTAGATTATGTATTTAGTTGATGTTCGTATTTATGAGTTTATGAATTTCAGTCCTAGATATAGAATGTAGCCACTTTTTTAAATTTCTTTTGAAACAATTTCCGAAACGTAAATCTTTTAAGTCTTTAGGTATAATTTCATAAAATTTAGGCGCTAAATAGAGATATGATCGCTGCATTATAGATTTATGCGGTTGAGGAACTACTGTGCCACGAATTTTGTACCTGGTACAGAGATTATGTTTAATTTTTTGGTCGGTGTTTACAAATTTATGGTAGTGAGTGATACTGTGTAAGAAATAAAGCTGTCTTATATCATACATTCGAACATCTGCGTATAATTTTTCAGTGGGATAAAGTTTCGGTTTTTTAAATATCATTTTTAGAATACTTTTTTGAAAAACATCTAAATTATAGATATGTGAGGAACGTGCAGCTCCCCATGCTAATATACCATATGTGAGATGAGGCTCAATCAGTGCATGGTATAATGTTCGAAGATATTTTTCTGTCAATATATTCCCAAAGTATTTAATTTTGTAGGATACAAATCTAACTTTCTTTAAAATATAATTGACATGGATGTCCCATCGTAAGTGAGGATCCAAGACCACTCCAAGGTATTTTATGTTGGGCACTCTATTAATTTGCATTTTTTGATCATTAATATTGAAGGAGAAATTTGTGTAATTTGGCAGATGTCTAGCATAAGATCCAAATGGCAAAAAATGTGTTTTAGAGTAGTTAATGCTTAATTTTCTACTGTTAAACCACCGAATAATTTTGATAAAATCATTTTCAATTACATTTTTCAGATCAGACCAGTCAGTGCCTTCATATAATATTGCAGTATCATCTGCAAAACTAGTTATTTTGCCAACACAATTAATTTGGAAAATATCATTTAAATATATATTGAATAACAGCGGACCTAAGACAGTTCCTTGTGGGACACCACACTTAATATGCATTTCTTTACTAAATGATCCTGATATCTGTACAGATTGTGGGCGATTTGACAAATAACTTTCGATCAGTGAGTACGCGTTTCCTCTGAAACCAATTCTCTCCAATGCTTCTAATAATAATTTGTGATTAACTGTGTCGAAAGCTTTCTTTAAATCAACAAAAATGCAGATTGAAGGGATTCTGTTATCAATATTTTGATATATTTGATTTACAATTTTAGTTATTGCGTCCGATGTAGCCTTCCCTTCTGTAAATCCATATTGATTTTCACTTAAAATTTTGAATTTTGTGAGGTATCGAATCATTCTAGTAGATAAAACTTTTTCAAAAACCTTTGCTACACTGGATATTATTGATATTGGTCTATCGTTGTTAACATCTGTTTTTGTTCCTGATTTATGTATCGGTATTATATTACGTTTTTTTAAAATTGAGGGATATATGCCAGATTCAAAGCATTTGTTGATTAGGTAAGTGAGTGGTTCTATTATGTCCTCGGCTATAATTTTCAAATGCTCGCTTTTAATACCATCGAACCCAGGACTTTTCCGATTTTTTAAGGACATAACGGTGGTGTATACTTCACATTGTTCGACTTTATCCAAAATAAATGAGTTCAAAGTTCTTTTTGGAGGCTGAGTATTTTGTACATTTGCTTGTATATTACTTGCTAAATTTTCGCCTATGTCAGTAAAGAATTGTACAAATTCATCGCATATCTGTTGAGTATTTTTTAATACTGTTCCCGATGTTGTATTTAACTCAGTGACACACTCTTTAAATTTTGTTTTCCCAGTAATCTCATCAATAGTTGTCCAAAGCCGATTAGGATCATTTAAGTTATTATTCAATTTATTTAAGTAATGTTTTCGTTTGGTTTGCCTTGCAAGCTCTATAAATTTATTTTTATATTGGTTGTAACAGTCGGTATTCTCTGTAGTTGGCGTTAGTTTCATTACATTATATAGTCTTTCTTTTTCTATTGCCGATGTTATTAATCCTTTGGTAATCCAGGCATTTCTGCTTTTCTCTTTGTGACTAATTATTACTTTATTGGTACTAATATCTATTAGTTTTTTTATTTTCTCTATGAACAGTCCCGTTGCTTTGTCTATATTATTTATAGAGTATAATTGTTCCCAGGATTCTTGTTTGACATTTGATATTAGTTTTGAATTGTCGACAAAAAATTTGTAATTTTCCTGGTTGTTATTAACGGTAGGGATGTTAGAATGTTTTTCATTTGAAGATATCAGTAAAATAGTGGAGAAGTGGTCAGTAATATCGCTTTCTAGGATTATTGGTATACAAGTAATCTTGTTGGATAGGTCTTTCACAAAGCAGTGATCTATACATCTATACATGCTTTAAATCATGAATGTTCTTGCTATTTTCAAGGTAATCTGCTGATGAACATCGGCCCGACAAAAGAAGGCACTATAACCCCAATTTTCGAGGAACGTCTCACCCAAATCGGTGACTGGTTGTCTATTAACGGCGAGGCGATCTACGGTACCAAACCATGGACACGTCAGAACGATACTAACGATGGAGATGTCTGGTATACGTCTAAAGGTGATGTAATTTACGCTATTCTTTTGAAATGGAAACCAACTTTGGAGCTGGACGCGCCTTTGGAACTGTATAAGCAACACTACTCTTGCTATTTGGTGGGACAGGAACAGCAGATTCCTCTAACGGTAAGTTTTGAGACTAGATAAATGTACTGTAGCTGTGGAAGATACTCGTTGATTAATATGGTGGAATATGGTATATATATCTCGTAAACTGTAAGACGTACGAAGTCGCTTAAAGGGGGGCAAAGTTGTGCATTTAGGTAATCGAAAAATGCCGCTTAGAAAGTTTCGAAATGCAAAGTACTTCCGGGGAGAGACGAAAAAAAATCTCGAAATTTTTTCCCGACTTTATTATTGTAGTGGGATTAGAATTTCCCTTGCCTTCCAGCAGCAACTTTAGTTTTTCTTATGGACATCATAATGGATTTTTGCACAGATGAATGGAGTTGTTAATTCTGATTCCAAAAATGGATAGCACGTCATATACTGACGCTGCCGAACCATAGTTATTTCAAAATAAGAAGAATTTTCTAGGTAGGCTTTGAAATTATCAGATAGTCATTTGTTTCGCATATCAGATTTATCCCAAAATCACTTTTACTGACGTTGTATGAGATGGGATTTCAAAATACTCATTAACAAGATGGCGTTGTCAAATTATCAAATCGACATTTCTTCGACAACATTGCTTTTTCATATGAACGCTATATTGGAATTTTGTACATTTAAATGGAGTTTTCAGTTCTAAATTCAGTGATATACAGCAGACGCTCGATAACGTAAACACGGGATAATGAAAACTTGCGCTAATGTAAACACAAACTTCGTTCTGTAGGATCAAACGGAACGCGCGATAACGTAAACAATGTGTACGCTCGATAACGTAAACAACTCTCGGCGCACGGAAACAGCGCGACGGTAAAATGCTGAAGCCTCGATGATTTATGTCGGGCGTCGGGGAGTCCCCGATTTATGATGTAGAGTGTAGGGGATTCACCTCTGCGATAAAATACGACAAACTCGGTCAGTCGTATGATCGTTTAGGATACGTTTATACGTACGTATGTATTTCATAAGTGAATACTTTGCACGCGTTAATATATTTTACGACTATGGCATCCACATCCTATAAAAGAAAGTGTTTAAAGTTGAGTGAGAGAGTGAAAATCATAGACGAAGTTGCACTAGGTGTGGGAGTGACACAGTTAGCAAAAAAATATGGAGTATCGAAAGCAACAATCTGTAAAATTAAGCGTATGAAAACTCAAATTTTACAAAGAACGTGCAATACATTTGGAGGTCCCGTTAAAAGAAAGACTTAAAAAAATGCGAATGCACCTAAAATGGAAAAATCCCTGTATAAGTGGTTTTTAAAACAACGGGAAAATCATGTCCCAGTTAGTGGCGAAGTACTTAAACAGAGAGCGAGACTGTTAAATGAAAAACTGATAGAAACTGAAAATTTCGTAGCTAGTGATGGTCGGCTACGATTCAAAACAAGATATGGAATTTGACTGCTTTCTATATCTGCTGAAAAATTATCAGCACAACCACAATTAGTGCAACCATTCAAAGAAAAATTGATGAAAACAATTACCGAGCTAGATTTAAGAATGGAACAAATTTACAACGCAGATGAAAGTGGCCTTTATTGGAAACTGTTACCAGAGAAATCCTATGCTGCATCGTTTGAAAAATCTGCCCCGGGAAGAAAGCCGGAGAAACAACGAATAACGTTTCTAGCCTGCACTAATGCTAATGGTTCACACAAAATAAAGCCACTGGTAATTGGGAAAGCAAAAAATCCGCGCTCATTTAAAAATGTTAATATCCCTGTTGATTATGACTGTTCAAAAACCGCTTGGATGACTAGCAGTATATTCCTGAAATGGTTCCACAGGTGGTTTGTCCCTCAGGTATGAAAATCAATTATCACAAATGCTCTATTCATAATTTGAAGATGTGTTTTCAATTTGTAGGTAAAAGGTTTCCTAAAACAACAGAAGCTTCCAGTAAAAGCGTTGTTACTATTGGATAATGCACCAAGTCATCCTCCCGAGCAACAACTGAGGAGCAGGGATGGGTCAATTTTCGTCATGTACATGCCGCCCAACGTAACACCGTTAATTCAACCGATGGACCAGAATATAATAAAACTCACCAAACTATACTATAGGAAGTTTCTACTTTCGTCTGTATTATCAAAGAATCCTGAAAACTTATCTGAGGCTTTAAAAAAAGTAACATTACGAGAAGCTGTTTTAGATTTACATATGGCCGCAATGAACTTAACCACCAAACTATTCAAAAAAGTTGGAACAATCTATTTTGTACCAATAATGAAGATGATGAAGAAGACGATGTCCCCTTAAGCGTAATTAGAGAACGTTTGCGATCCAATAATGATAATGTTATTAGTGTGTCATTGGATGTTGTTGATTTATTGAAAACAGTGAATCCCAACATTGTTTGTACTCCTGCTGATATTAATTTATGGAACGAAGATAAGCAGACGAATGATGCTGATAAGGAGGAGGATATTGACAGTGAGGATGATGAGAACGATCCCATTGAAGTCAGAAGTATAGTGACTGACGCGCAAGCTATACAAGTTTTTAACCAAGCTTTAGATTGGGCTGAAAGAAAAGAAGTTTCATACACGGATATTTTAGTTCTTCGTAAATTACGGGCGCAGGCATTGGGAGACAATGCTAAGCGCAAATTTACGCAGACAAAAATTGTTAATTATTTTTCTTCTAATTAAAAAAATACTTATCGCTGTTAGAATATTTGTTTATTTTGTTATAAACAGTATGTATTAAACGTTTCTTTTAATAAATTAAATATTATATAAATCACGTGCGCTAATGTAAACATTTCGATAATGTGAACCACACTTGGATGAAATTAGTTTACATTATCGAGCGTCTGCTGTATTTCCTTGGTTCGATGAAAATTATAAGAAAGTTAATAGAGGTATGGTGAAATCTGAACACAGAATGAAAATTTTCTTGATAGTTGCAACAATAATAATCTTAAATAGGCAGAGGTAAGTCATCAGTCGTTGAAAATATTGTCCGTCATTTTGTAGGCAAAGCCAGATTCTTCTCTGCATATTGGCTCGATTTATTTCTCTTCTTTTCAGTTTCCCGAAATATGTCTCTATATTTAATTTGAGGTCTAGCCTGGTATACGAAACAAATGAAATCTGATAATTTCAAGGCCTACCTAGGAACGTGTTTTTCAGGAATATCGAGGGTTTGTCAATATATCATGTATGACATATACATTTTTCCGGCCAAAAATCCAATACGGCGTCTACATGGAAAAATAAAGTTAGTGCTGGAGAACAAGAGATGAAACATTATACTGAAATTCTAAGTACGCAATTTTGTAGCGGAGAAAAAGTTAATGTACAATTTATTTTGTAATGCCACTACAAATAAAGTCAGGAAACAATCAAAGTGTTTTTGGGATAAATCGAAACAAATGGCTCTGCTAATTTAAAGGAATTTTTTTTTTGAATAACTAAGGTGTGGCAATATCAATGTATACTAAGTGACATATAAATCCGAACACCCAGTTTAAATGGTTTTATTTTAATAAAATTTTGTATAAGTACGTAGTCGTGCCATAAGTTCTGTCCCATGATAATCTCATGATAAAAATGAAACAAGATAAGATATATTTATATGAAAGATATTATTTATTCGACAACATTTTTAGAATTCATAATCAAACAGTTTTATTCAAAATGTCCCCCCTTGGCCTTCACACACTGCTTCAATCTCGCGGGCCACTCATCTATCACTGCACGCACAGCTTCCAAAGGAATAGCTGCCGCTGGTCGGATCAAATCCGCTTTCAGGGACTCGATATTACGGTGGGCTTTGGAGCAGGCCAACTGCTCTAGCAGGTCCCACAACTTGTAGTCTAAAGGATTGAGGTCCGGACTCCCTGAGGGCCAATCTTCCGCAGCAATGAACTCTGGCACATTGCTTTCCAGCCAGCGCTGCGTACTCTTAGCCTTGTGAGCGGGGGCGGAATCCTGCTGGTAGACCCAGTGTTGGTTGGCAAACAATGTACCACTTAAAGGCTTGACGATAGGATCCAGTATGTCGCTCTGATAGTTTGCCGCTTTTGTTTTCACGCCCTGTTTACAGAAATGGAGCTGAGTGACCCCTTCGTAGGACACTCCCCACCAAACCATGACTGACGCAGGGTGGTGGCCTCTCTCAACTCTCGGAATGATCTCCGAAGCTTCCTGTGAACTCCTTGCATACACTTTGTCATTTTGTCGGTTGAATTTTTCTTCTATGGTGAAGATTTTCTCATCCGTGAACAAAATCTTTCGGAATCCCCCAGCTGCGTACCTCTCCAAGAGCTTCTTGGATCTTGTCGCCCTGATGTGTCGCAAGGTGGCCGTAAGTCGCTGGCCCGTACGTCTCCGGTAAGCCCCTAGCCCTAGGTCTTGTTTAATGATGCGCGACATCGTCCGGACAGGAATCTTCATTTCCCTGGATAGGATCTTCTGCTTCCGGAGTGGATTCCTTTGAATCCTGGCTTTTACGGCTTTGATGGCTGCTGGAGTCCTTACTTGACGAGGTCTTCCGCTTCTTGGCCTGTCATCAACAGAGGACGTCTCATTGTACCGCTGAATGGTCCTAGACACAAATTTACGCGATATTTGAAGGCCGCATAAGAGTTCAAAAATCTGACTAGCACTGTGATTACACTTATGTAAAGCTATCACTGCAATACGGTTCTCTGCCTTGCCCCACTCCATCGTTATGCTTCGAAAGATCAATACAAACTGAGGTATATGTAATTACCCGAAAAGCGCTTAATCAACTGACACCACAATGTAAACAATCGGACAAGGATTAACAGGTCTACACTTGTTTGAAAACGAGGGACAGAACTTATGGCATGACTACGTACTTAATGAAGCATAATACGTAAATGATAAAAATTTCAAAATGATTGCACTGCTTTAAAGCCCTTTGACCTTTAATAATCTGTGGATTCACCCTGATGTGCACACTTCGCATGCCAATAGGTCTTCCGTGTTCTGCAAACCATTCATTTGCACTGGATCTGTTAGTGGAGAAACGGTCCCTTAAGGCCAATAATCTTAGGCGGCGATCTTCACGGTCTGTTGTTCTACGGCGGCGTCCAGTGCCCCGTGCACTTTGCGTACGGCCTTCTCGAAGCCATGCCTGACAACACCTAACCACAGTGTCTACACTTCTTTGCACTCTAACTGCAATTGCCCGAAAAGAAAGTCCAGCTTCCCGAAGTCCCACTATACGGCCCCTATCAAACTCACTAAGTTGACGAAATCGTACAGGTCTCCGTACTCTAGGCATCGTAACCGAACGTAAAGGATGTCAAGAACCAAAATCCGCCAACGTTGATTCTTTACTGCGGCTGAAATATTCATTTTTAGAGCGTTAGTGAATTTTTCCTAAAACTTCAACACTCCGAGTTTTTGTAAGGAAATATTTTTGGACCATAGCTTATAAAGCAGACTAACATTAATTTTTCATGTAGATTCACACCCTTAAATATTCGCATATGATTAAAGAAGACCCTGTATATCTTTGGAATCAGAATTAAAAGCTCTATTCATCTGTGCAAAAATTCAATTCAATATGGCGTCCATAAGCAAAAATAAACTTGATGCTGGATGACAATAGACGAAACGTCATATTGAAATTTGAATTATGCCTTCTTGTAGAGGAGAAATAGTGGTAATGTTAATGTGCAATTTACATGGAAATCCCACTACAAATAAAGTCACGAAAAAATTCAAACGATTTTGGGAAAATTCGTTTTTTCCCAGTCTCTCTGGAAGTTCTTTAAATTTCGAAACTTTCTAAGCAGCATTTTAAATACATTATTTCAGAAATTTCAAAAAAGATATTACTTTTATAGAGTTTCCCAGAATCTTAGTATGGATTCCAAAACAATTGTGTAATACGTCTGTAATGCTTCCCCATTTTTTATATTGTTCAACCATCTTATTTACAGCAAATGAAAAGTGACATTAAAAGTTCTACAAAATAAAGCTATGAGAATCATTTTAAATAAAAACAAATATGCTAGGATTATATCTATGTTAGAAGAACAACAGTGCTTGAATGCAAAAAACTTCATATGTTATTTAGTTCTCATTTTGATATTCAAATTAAAAAATAATTTATTACCACCACATTTAGAGAACTTCACAAAATTAAATAGTCATTATCATAACTACGAAACTAGAAGGCAGTACAGATTTTCGTCTAGAGAATTGTAATGGGTTGTCCAATAGGGACGCAGGAAAGTAAACGTCAATTTGACATAGACGCCATCTTTGTTTTCTGTCACCGACATGTCATTTTGTTAGTTGAATGTTTACCATTTATCGCTATGGAGTCGTATTCGATTGAAGACCGCATTCAAGTTATTCAAGAGCACTACGAAAATGGTGCAAAAATAAAAAACACGTTTCGCGCGCTTCGTGAACATTTCGGTCGCAACAACCGCCCAAACGAAACAACCATCGTCTGGTGCGTAAATTCGAGGCAACAGGTTCTGTGGCAAATCTGCCAGGCTCTGGCCGGCCAAGGAGCGTTCGCACACCGGAAAATATTGCTGTTGTGAAGGAGAGTGTGAGGGACGATCCGAAACAATCAACAACGCGTCGATCCCAAGAATTGGGCATTTCGAGAACCAGTTTGCTCCGCATTCTCCACAAGGATTTGAATGTACACGCCTACAAGATCCAATTGACGGAAGAGCTGCGTCGGGCCGACCATTTTTCGCGCCGAACTTAATGCCAATTTTTCATCAAAAATCATGTTCAGCGACGAAGCGCATTTCACTTTGAATGGGACAGTAAACAAGCAAAACTGCCGTATCTGGGCGAACGAAAATCCCCGTGAGTATCAAGAGCAGCCGATGCATCCTCAAAAAGTGACTGTGTGGTGTGCATTGTGGTCAAAAGGCATCATCGAACCTTACTTTTTCGAAAATGCGGCCGGGGACGCCGTTACCGTCAATTCTGAGCGATATCACGTGATGATAGAGGACTATTTTTTGCCGCAACTTGAAGGAATGGATATGGACGATGTTTATTTCCAACAAGACGGTGCAACATGCCACACAACCAACGTCAATATCCATCGATTGCAGTCCTTCTTCGGTGATCGCGTGATTTCGCGCAGAGGAAATGTGCCATAGCCACCAAGATCGTGGACTTCTTTTTATGGGGATATTTGAAAAGCAAAGTCTACGTCAACAAACCTGCCAACCTCCAAGAACTCAAAAACAACATCATTGCCGAGATAAATGCCATAGAACCGACCATGTTGCAAAATGTCATTGAAAATTTCCACCATCGCATTGACGTCTGTAAATTCAGTCGTGCTGAACATTTGAGCGATATTATTTTTCATACATAAATGTTATAAATGAACCTTCAAAATAAAGTACCCAACTTGATTTGAATATCAATCTTTCTTGTTTTAATATGCGTTTACTTTCCTGCGTCCGTTTTCCAGTATTCGAGTTTAAAAATGTTTAAGGTAAAATTAAAAAATCACTATGAATACTCAAAATGCATAGTGATTTCAATAGACGAGAATGTAAAATTACAGAAAATATATCCTAAAAATATGAAAACGAATATTTGTACAAAATTGACAATGCTAAATAAATCTTCAACAAGCAAATCAATAAAATAAATAAATCGAAGAATGAAATGTCCTAGGCATGCAAGTTACCTGTCAATTAACGACCGCCATACAACAAACAAAAAACTAAATCTATGACTTGGGTCCATCTTTTTTAATAAAAATCTATACAGCTTTGAGTACTCACTCACGCAGAAGCGCGTTAGGGTTTTTAAACTGTATAACAATTACGTTTCTTTTTCAGTTCACAACAGCAAAGGACAAGGCGCAAATCACCATGCCACCTCTTCATACAACCAAGAGCAAGTGGGCTTATGTATTGAAGTTTCAAAGGGCACCGCAAATTCTACGAAAGAACCAATAGTCGAGATGTTCGAAATATATTTATTTGAAGTGTACGTAAACAAAAATAAAATGCTCGAAAATTCGACATTTTTCAATTCCAACGAAGAATATAATATTTTAATTATAAAAATGCAATATGCGTATTTGATCTATAAAAATTCATCGTTCGTATTTGATCTGTTTCACAACTGTGAGACTTCATAGAGGTAGGCAGCCAATAATTTAGTCTGCAAAAAAAAATAATAATAATATAAAGTTGTCAGATAATATGGAAGCAAATTTGGAGTATTCTGGGATCAAAGAATATAGTGGTGGTAAATACGTTACAGTTGGAATTGACTGTGACCAAGGGTATCCCAAAAAAATTAATTCTTCAACTGCATAGCCTCTATTTTTCCATTTGACTAATATCTCAAACAATAAATTGCTACAGTATATTCAGATAAGAGATAGACCGGATGTAAACAAAAGGTTCGGGTGATTTTCACGCTAACGCCGCCGTCTCGACGTAAAACAGGAGCCCTCATTGGTCAATTCGCAATTAAATGCCTATGCCGAGCGGCAGAGCAGTCGTATCAAGGCAGAGTCACATTCAGGTTCAGACGTGTTACGTATGTCGTGTGCATCATTGCAATTTGATATTTCTTTGGACGTTTTCGTTTGTTATCTTATTAAGTTGTTGAGTTTGTCGTTGTTATTGTTATACCTTGTTATTGATTGTTATTGTTATCAACTGCTTGCGCAAAATGCCCAGTAGTACAGATACTGCCGATGAAGTTGTAAACTCCTGTAGTCCACCTAGGAAACGCTCTACAAAAGACACCTGAGTGCAGAAATGAAAGAGGTCATTTTGAATATATATAAGATCGAGCGCGAGGAGAACGAGGCATCAACCATCAAAGAAATTGTTGTAAAGGTTTCTCACAAAGTTGGGGTGTGTCGCGCATCAGTGTTTAATGTGTTAAGACAATACAAAAAAAATCACACCTTTTCTGAGCCAATGACCAGTAAACATCGCAAAAGTATTGTTAAATCATTGGATGAAGCTGATAAGCATGCGATTAGGAGGAAAGTGCACGAATTCTTCTTTAGAAATGAAATACCTACTATAGATAAAGTACTGCAGGAGGTAAATGGAGATACAACGTTGCCAAATTTCAAACGATCAACTTTCCATGCGTTACTGAAACATTTAAATTTCAAATGGAAAAAACGGGGTCGTAATAGTTTACTACTGGATAGAGAAGAAATTGTGCTATGGAGGAGGGATTATTTAACAAAAATTGGGAAATATAGAAATCAAAACAGGAAGATTTATTACCTTGATGAAACATGGGTAAACGCAGGACACACTACAAGTAAAGTATGGGTTGATGATTCTGTAACTTCATCCAGGAGGGCCTTTCTAGATGGACTGTCCACCGGATTAAAAAATCCAGCAGGTAAATACGAGTAATAGACAACAATCGGATGTTTTTCAAACCTTGGGAACAAGGTTCTAAACATTAATTCCAGTGGGCAGATAAAACATATTACAAGTAACAAAACTTTTATAACTTTCGATAAAATGCGTGGATGTTTTATTGTCATTTTCATTTGTTAGAACTTTTTTAAGCCATGTTTTTATGTGTTTTCGATATTTCAATAATTTTTTAATATAATCTTAAAATATGTCGAATATTATAAACTTAAAAAAGTTACTAAGTTTTATATTGTGTACCGTTCCTAATATTTCTAATCATTTTAATTCATACTTTAAGCTTTATAAAGTTATAATTTGTTAATATTAATATTTGCGCGTATTTCAGGTTCCTGATCATTCATTTTTTAAAGGTTTATAACTTTAAATTAAATTGTGAAGCGCTGAGTAATCATACGACGTTCAATATTCTTTCTTTCAATATGACTAAATAATCCCAATTATAGCAATCTGATACTCATGTCTCAATGTTTTTTCGCTGAATGTGATGAAAACATTTGAAAAAGGTTCGCTTATTGAAATAAATCTACACCAGTTAGTACTTCGATTTCCAGGTAAAGGGAAAAGGCTCATTATCTGCCATATTGGCAGTGAAGATTGATTTGTTGTTGACGGTCTGTGGTGCTTTGAGTCTACCACGAGGAAATGAATGGCGAATCGTTTGAACAGTGGTTTTCAAAAATTTTACCGAACTTAGAGGAAAACGCAGTAATTGTGTTGGATAATGCGCCTTATCATTCTCGAAGAATGGAGAAGGTCCCAACAACGGCTTCAAGGAAAGTTGATGTTCAAAATTGGCTCCGCTCGAAAAATATCAACTTTGAAGAAGCAATGCTGAAATTACAATTATTAAGAATTGTCAAGGATCACAAGGCGGAATATCAAAAATACGCCATTGACGAAATGGCAGCAAGTCAAAATAAAACTGTGCTCCGTTTACCTCCATACCATTGCGAGCTCAATCCGATTGAGCTCATATGGGCAGAGGTTAAAAATTATATAGCTAAGCACAATACAACTTTTAAATTTTGTGACCTCAAAAGACTTTTCAAAGAAGCACTAGAATTAATAACAGCGCAAAAATGGGAAAACTGTATTAAGCACGTGAAAGACAAAGTTGAAAAGAGAATGTGGGAACTGGACAATATTTTAGAGGAACAAGTCGAGCCATACATTATTGATGTTGGTGCTTCAGGCAGTAGCGATGATGAAAGCTCATCAAGCTCATCTTTCCAATAAAAGATGTCGTTCATCAAATTCGGTAAGTTATAAGTAATTATAAAGCTACTGTATTTTTTAATTAATTATTGACATTTTTGAACCCATTTTGGCAAAACCTATTCATGAATCTACTTTCTGACAATGTTCAACCATGCACATTTTTTTACGGTTTGAACGTTTTAATTTGGTTACATATTTACCTAGAAATCAAAAAATATACTAATCAATATTCTAAAAGCAATTTTAAGAGATATACGATTATTTTTAATTTAGGCTAATTTAAACGCCATTTTGAGATTATATTCGACTGTATTTCACCAAACATCAGGCGGCATCCGAAGCTGGAAATCGAAGCGAAAATTTTGAAACCCTTATGTATATTTACATCATTATATATTTCTTACCCCACCCCCACATGATCCTATATCCATCACCAATCGTATACACATCGAATTGTGCTAATTTACTACAAAGTTACGCAAAGCAGCATCTACTATCTAAAATATGTACTGCGTGACTCTTAATACGTCCCTGCCGAATGTTACAGCGTTCGATGATCACGTGGTCTTGTTTATGTCCGGTCTATCTCTTATCTGAATATACTGTAGATAAATTTAAGATTCGACCGCCAGGCGCCATGCTTCAAGCTCGATGAATAGCCAGAGCAATGTATTCATTAAAGATACCGTTACTAAGTTCCCAGCTCAAATTTCTATTTTCTAATTTCTACTAAGCGTAGGATATCTGCCTGTTAATTGACAAAACCGTTCCAAAAGCAGCTTATTCTGTTTGACGATGACGTCGATGAAGAACCTAAGTAAAAATTGTTGCTAATTTATCCAAAGAAAGTCCATCTGCCCACGGTAAACGCTACAAGCATCTAAAGAAAAAACAATTTTTATTACGTTGCGTACAAGAACACAGGCAGGTATATCCTGACTGTACAAAAGATTAAATTAATCAGTCTTTTATTTGTCGAAAAGATTTAGGTCTTAAAATGGTTTCTCTACTGAACAAATCGGTAATAACAAGTGCGACAGTGTAAAGATGTGGAAGACTTTAAAAAGACTGATCAATTCGAAGCCGCGTGATTGTGTAAATCAAGTTCAATTCGAAAACGGTACCGAAACAAATTCTTTGGTGATTGCAAACAAACTAAATGAATATTTTGTGGAAAGTTTTGTTGATATTGTGGGTACTGCCAATGCTGGACCTGGCCATATGAAAATCAGTTTCCAGGGGGAAATGTTGCATACACTTTCAAAATTTCACAGCATTGAATTATCTAAGAAAAAAAGTAAACAGTTTAAAATCAAATAACAACTGTGCCGAAATGACTACTAAAAACGTGCTGAAAAACTGTTTCGAAATTTTGGGATATCCTGTATTAAATTGAATCAATTGTTCACTGAGAAGCAGTTCTTTCCCTGAAAATTTGAAAAGCTCTACAATAACACCAGTTCCCAAAATAAAAAATTCTAAAAGATGCAGCGATATGAGACCAGTAAATGTGTTACCAGACATTGAAAAATTATTAGAGTCCATAGTGCATGACCTATTAATGCAGTTTATAGAAGAAAACAAAATTTTAGTGGAGGCACAAGCAGGCTTTCAAAAAAAATATTCCACAGAAACAGCTTTCCAGTTGGTATCTGAGAATTGGAGAAGAGCCATAGACTCAGAAGAAGTTGTCATAGCAGTATTTTTGGATTTGAAGAGGGCATTTGAAACGATTGATAGAGATATTTTGTTAGGTAAATTGAAGGCATATGGTATAACAGGAAGTGTTTTAGATTGGTTTAGAAATTATTCGTCTAAAAGGATGCAAGTTACAAAAGTTAATGACACTATTTCAGCAAAAATTGAAAATACGTTGGGTGTTCCACAGGGCAGTATCCTGGGACCACTTCTTTTTATTTTATACATAAATGATTTACCTGCCATAGTAAAAAAATGCAAAATTCAGATTTTCGCCGATGACACTATGATTTATATAAGTACTAAAAATATTCAGTCTGGTATCCCTTATATAAATGAAGACTTGAAGCTTGTCTCAAAATGGTTAGCATCTAACAGACTAAAATTAAATGCAAGTAAAACGAAAGCCTTGTTAATCGGAAAAAAACAATGTACAAATGTTCAACTGAATATTGATGGTGAAGATATTGAATTCGTAGAAAATTTTAAATACCTGGGGGTTTTTGTTGACTCTCGATTAATTTTTGATATTCATTATGAAAAAGTTATAAATAAGATTAGTAGTAAAGTGGGATATTTATCGAGAGTTTCTGGATGTCTGAGTTCATATAGCAGAAAAATTATCTATAATACCATCATTCTTCCAAATTTCTTGTACTGTTCGACTATTCTATATTTAGCAAATAATTCCATTTTTGAAAGACTGCAAATTTTACAAAATAAGTGCATGAGAATAATACTAAATAAAGATAAATATACTCCAATTAGGCAAATGCTTAGCAAATTAAAATGGCTCAATGTAAAACATTTTAACCAAATATCTTGTAA